TGGACTTACTGAGACCCTGCTTGTAGCTCTATAGTAATACTATACCTGAGTGGTGATATAAGCTAGAAATGACTGGTACATTCCACATGAGAGTACTGCTCCGATACTGCTTTAAGTGCCTCCTGAAAACAAATCTTCATTGCACACCAGATGGACATGAAACCCAGATTTATTAAAATACCCTTAGCATATTTACAATTGAAAGCCATAAATGCAATTCTCTGCAAATTCCCAAAAATAGAGTTCTATCTCTTAAGTTAACAGAGGTATCAACACATTAGGATAAACATAATCACAGAGATAGGATTCTTTGCATAGACAATCTACATCTTCCAACCAATATATATTATGTATAAAAATACACTTGATATGATGACCAAGTAGCGTCAAGGAGGAAAAAAAAAATATATATATATATAGTATACAACACACACACACATATTTTCGTTATGTACAAATCAATATTGGTTCCTTCACTTTTTCTTTTTAAAAATAAATACTTCATTTGGTTGCAAATGACATTTACAAATTCAACTCATGAGCATTTCTCAGCTTTGACAAAATTAAATATGCAAATTAGAAATATTTTAAAAATTTAACGGGAAAAAAAAATACCTGAATCCAATTAGCTTATTATGTTTAAAAATATCCAAGAGCATGTAAGGTTTCACGTCTATAAAGTGCCTTCTCCTTTCCCAAACTGTCTTTGTTATTGCTTAAAATCCTTGAAGATTATCTCTACATGTTGGTCTAATAAATAAACAGAAAAGCCAGCATTTTACCAGGTAAAATGATTGACTATTTAGGACATGCATATGCTTTTGTTAAGTGCTTTGAAGAGAGTAACAGTGACTGTTAATCTGAAAATAACCACAAAGTGGCCACCTCCTGATTCAAATTAGGGGTAGATGCTTGACTCATGAGTAAAAGTCAGGACGGAGTGGCAATAAAAAGCCTTATGATTAAAATGTCTGTTTGCACAAAAATAAGTCAATTTGCCCAGAAGCACAGAAATTTACTTGTGATTCAACAATATAATCTTATGTATCATAGCTGGTGACCTGATGGGATTTATAAATTTATCAAAGTAATGACTCCTAATTAGATGGTTGAAAGTAAAATCTATGAGAAATTGAGAAGGACTTGAATGACCAATCCCCACTCTACTCTTCTTAAAATAAAGTAAAATAAAATGAAAAAGAAATGTATTTTCCATCTCTTTTATGGATTTTCCTTTTTGCCCAAGTGATGAGGTGATGCTGACATTAACAAGAGGCAGCCACAGCAGAGTGTCTCACACGGGCTCCTTGGTGACAGTGGAGTGCCCTGTCCAAATGGCTAAGGAATGGAGCATGGGGTGTGAGGAGATGAAGTTAGGGCCTAAGGAGACATCAGGTTGTCTGTGATGCAGGGAGATGAAAAAAGCTGGGCTGGAAGAAAATGTAAAGTAGGGGAAAAAATTAGCTGTTTGGCTGTGAAGGAAAAGGAGGCTGAAGCAGCAATATTGAAAGGAGAGACGTGAGATGAAGCTAGATTGCATAAATGACCTTGAACAAGCATGGATAGAACAGGAAAGTTTCTGACAGACAGCCTCATACATATGAGATAGGTAGAGTTATGAAACCAAGCCCAGAGTGGTTTTACCAGGGTACCTGCTTTTCTAGCACATTGCCTGGCACTTATCAGGACAAGATAAAGGCCACTCTCATTCCTGAACAATGAATTGAATTTCCCTGGCAAAGTTGCCGATGGTACAACCACAGCAAAAAACCGCCAGCTCCCTATTGATGCACTCCATCGGCATTGCACTGGCCTTCTGGCCTTCTTCAAATTTTTCTCTCCTTCCTTGTCTCCTATTTTCCCTTCTTATCCCATCACTCTCAGTCTCACAAGCTGAATGAAGACAAGTGCACGGATCAAATGCATTTTAGAAAGTGGCATCTAGGAGGCCAGGGAGTTGCTAAGAAAATTAAGCCCTAAAGCACTTGAGATCACTAACATTTCTGTTAGCTCTGATTACTGATACTAGGATGCTGACGGACTTGCCTTAGGTTCTGGGCATGCAGGCCAGTGCTTAGTTTTCAGGCCTAAACACAATTCCTAAACACACCCTGCTCATGCTGGGCTAAGTTAAAACTCAGTGAAAAGACTATCATCAATCAGTGAAATGCTTTCTCTAAAGTTTCTTAAAAATTATTCAATGTCTCATTTTAAAAGTTTCTACCTTTCCAAGAGTATCTTAGATTGTTTCTTTAAAGGGAAGTCCTTTTTTCTTAATGCATATACTCTTGAAAAGTATACATACAGTGGACAGTAGGCCATGTTATTTGGGTCCTAGGAAATTACAGAATTGCAGGACTATAACAGTACTGATGTTGGAATAGATCTATTGCATTGGTAGACCCAAAAATCCTACTTGTGTGATTGTGAGCAAACAGGAGAACTGTTACTAGACTTTCCCTCTCTCTTGCTCACAGATTGTTTTCAGTGGAAACAGAAGCCATTGGAGGATGGTGCAGAACACGTCTCAGTGGGGCTGAGACTCCCTTCTTTAAGACTTTGTAGTTGGACATCTGAAGAAATGAGATTATATATGGGACAAGTTAGCAAGAAGAGAGGGGAAAACAAGAGCCTTGAGCAAATTCTCATTAACCTTTACTGAGCATCAACTTGAGTTGGAAATGAAGGCTGTGTCAACAATGTAGTACTTTGGTGGACTTGGGAGGGGGCAACTCAGGTCTATAATACGGGGCTTAAACTGGGTAAGAATAATGGAGATTCTGCTGCGGTGTCTAAAAACACTAATGTAACACGTTTCACTGGTGTGACACAACCACTAGATTTTCCCAACAGACGCAGACAACCTTGTTCTTTAGAAATAGGTTAATAGGCATTTTACTGCAAAGTGTTAGTCCATTCACTAGGATGAAATCCAAAGTGGGCTGTGTTTAATTCTCAAAAGTTTCCATTTATTATTCTTCAGCATCGGTTCCTTAAGACAGTGTCCTTTGGAGGGACACTGTGACATGGTTACAGTGACAGTCCCGCTTACCTTCACTCATTTTTGTGGCATCTTAGAGACCGGAAGTGGACTGCAGTGACCCCCTGATAACACCGTAACGATGGAGCACAGATGGCTGCAAGTGGAATTTGCTTTAAATTGATGAATTCCCTTGGCTTTTCTTTGCACTTAAGTGAAAATGAAGAGAAACTATATAACAAAGCAGCATGGAAAGCTTCCTGCTCACTGTGAACGTCAAGCCTTCTGAGTCGTATAAGTTTCTCATCAGCTTTTCTACTTTGCTTGTCTCAGTCCTTAATTTTGAATAAAAAAAAAATCCAACCCGGTTACTGTATTCCTGCCTTCTGAGCCATTAGAAAGGGTGGTTAGCACCTGCAAGGATATGGCTTCTGTGACTTGGTTTCAGCCTGCCTGTGCATTCTTGATTTCCACAGGTGGCACCCTATTAGGATATGATTCTGTTTTCATTAGCTGAACCTACTACAGGGGTGTCCCTGGGGGGGGGGGGCTGATGGCTGGCAGCCCCTCCTGGGAAGACACTCAGGTACCTAGCAACTTCAAGGGATCTGAAAAGATGCTGGGGTGAGGGGAAGGCCACACATGGCAGCTGGATCAGGGAGGAATTTAAGATTCTTGCTCATCTCTGGACTGTCTTCCACCAATTGTCAGAGAAACATTGGCCTCTCTTCCTTCCAGGCCTATGAATGACTGTCTTTGATCTTATTCTCAATCCAGCTTCAATCAGCTCTCCTCTCCCTTTATAAGACAGATTCAAAGGAAGGTGGCTTGAGGGCAAAAATGCCCTGGAGAGGCTCACGTGGTTTTCCTCTGTGACTCAGTGGCCGGGGTCAGAAAGGCTGTCCTTATATGGTATTGCACTCCAAGTTTTATATTAATGAAATCGCCATGTTTTCATTTTGATGTAAAGAATGTTTCTCCTGCCCTTAAGTGTTTCAACATCAAGGACTTCTGCTTCATGCTCTGTCACACGCCTGTGATAGAAACTTGTGAGTTGCACGTATTCTCCTTCCTGGAGGTGGCATGAGGGGTCCAGCCATATAGTGACAGGACGTGATGTAGAACTCAGCTGTGTAAGAACAAGGCATTGCCCATTCACGAATGGTTTGAAACGTGAAAGGTGCTCTGCTACTGTGTCACTTGTCCAAGTAGGGACTCTGACCCCAGGGCCACGCCTGCTCAGGGATTACAGCTTCTTCCCGGAACTGAGGTGCAGAATCTCAGCTGGCCCAGGAGAAACACAAACAATGGGCCTTGATTAATGACTGATAACTTCTTGCACCCTAACTTGTTCTCCAGGATGAAGTTTATGGCTATTTATTTCCTTCTCTAGCCCTGTGCAATTCCATTTTTTCTTTCTTCCATTATATGAACAACAGTGATAACAAAATCATTTTTTTCTATCCCGGGAAATATGTCATCTTCGACTTCCTCAAAAATAATTTTGGTAAGTTGCAACATTTTTGGTGAGAAAGATGCTACAGAAACTTGCTCAACATGATCAAAGTTAAGAGCAATAATCAAAATACAGTATGTAAAGACCAAGTCTTCAACTCTCCCAAAGTAATGGTCATATAAGGTCCTTCTCTTCTTCTGTCCCAAGGGGACGTACTTGTCATCCAAGCTGGGGTCATAAAGCTTGAAATTGAGCTTAAAAAGAAAAGAAAAGAAAATCTTGGTATTTCTTCTGGTCTTATAATACAGCGGACTCTGGACCTCTAGAAGCAACTATCAAATGTTCTGCAAGGGCCTCTTCAATAGCTTTTCATTGTTCCTGTGGCTTAATGAAGGACTTCTTAAAGAAGGCACAGAGAGTTTTCTGTAGATGACCTCAGAAAGAGATGAGGAGAACAGACACTTAGTAACACATCTTCCAAGAATAACCCACAGCACTGGCGTCACCAAGGAGCACGTTAGGCCCATGATGTCTCCATTGTCATCCTCTTCCTGTGCCTCCGCCTTAGTTGGTGGTTACACTGGCTTCCTTCTGACGCAATCTTTCTTTCTGTTAATCAAAAAAATGTATTACCATTTCTTTCATTTTTCATTTCTCAAATTCTAACACATTTTTAAAATTTTGGCCTAGAATGCTGAATAGAATTTCATCAAATACCCAGAAATGAGACTATGTATTTCTATCCCTCTTTCCTTAAGCTCTCAGTTACCTGCTCCTCCCAACCTGTCACCCTTACTCCTCCAAAAAACAAACAAGTCAACAATCAGCCAATCAGCTGGCTATAATGCTGACCTTTTCCATCAGGATGCTCTGTTCTGTTCTCTTCTTTTGTGATAAAGACGCCACTTTGTAGCACTATTCAAAGACTTCTCCCATCTCCACCCTTGGCCCACTGATAGAATAAGGGAATGCTCAAGAAATAGTTTGTAGGGAGTCTAGGTACAAAAAACATTCGCTCCCTCTCTTTTTTGACATTCACTGTCTCTTAAGTTGAACATATTTGCAAATGATCAACTTGGCAGGACTGAACCACAGTTGTGTACAATGGAAGATAAGCAGATTTGCTTTCTGCAGAATGGCAGGACCTTCTGTTTGCCATGGGTCTTCTACTCTGTTCTTTCTGGGGTTCCTCCTGACACACAACCTTCTAAAGGAAGGGCATAGAAGTCTTCTGGGAAGATATAGAAATAGATTAGAGTAGACTAGAATATACTGAATAGAACCATGGATCCTTGCTGTGTCTGTAATGCTAGAGAGGTAAACATATGACGTACAGCAGGAACGAGTGTGCCTGCTCTTAGGGGAAGACAAAAAGAAGGCTAAAAAGGAAAAGGGAAAAGTACACTCTTTTGGAAAGAGCAGATATGGAAAGAGACCCTTTGGGAAGGGCTGCTTGTGATCTGTGCCATATGATGTTGAAGTGAATTATTAATTGGTCTAGATATGAACCTAAGTTGATGATTCTTAGACACCTGTCCTCAGTTTGGACCCCATCCTTGGCTTGTCAAATTGAATCAGGGATTAGTTTACAAACTCTTCTCTAACTTCCATCCACCTACCTACAAAGAGGCAAATAATAATAATAATGATTTCCTAACAAGTTGAGGATCACAACTGGGGGCTTGCTCACAGTGGAGGTCAATCTAGAAAAGATGCCACAGTAAATCCACTGTCTCCCATTTGTCTGCAGGGCTGACCCCATTCTCTCTGTCTTGGGAGGACAAAGTTGCTCATAAAAGTCAGGACAGAGGCCCAAACTAAAGGCCTGGAGAAGGTGGTAGAGGCTGATGAAGGAGCCTCTAAAATGAGATAAAAATGAGAGTTGAGCCCATTGTCACTGAAAATTAATTATACTCAATGAGTATAACGAATGCCCCATACAATGAGCATACACACTGTGTCCATTTAGGTTGGGGCTACATACCTTAACTACGGCTTTACCTGACCAAGCTGTACGGGCCTGACTTCCTCATTTCCCATTCATCAATCTCAAAGAACCTTCATTTAGCTGCCAATGGGAGTGTTAGAAGAGCCACCATCATCAGTCAACAGAAACAGGCTTGCTTTATAACTTAGACCCCCAACTTAGATCTTCAAAAGATTTAATGCAGCCGAGAAAAGGTACTAGTAATCTAAAAGTATAAAGTAAGTAGTTGTGGGACAATAGGACCCAGGGATGGTAGGGTTTGAAAATCCAAGTGACAAGGGTGATATTATCTTTTATACTCATTGCGGGCCCCATTGCTGGGTCACCCAAAGCTGCTGTAATTCATAGTAATAAGAAAAATAGATAACATTTATTGAGCTCTTATTATGTACTTCACTTTTTTTTTTTTTTGCAGTGTCCTTAAAATAACCTCAAGCAAAGGTGATATTTTCTTCTTTTCACTGAAGAGAAACAAAGTCCACTAAGGTTTTATAACTATTAAGTAGCAGTGCTGGGATTTGAACTTACACAGTTTCATCCCCAACATCCCAGGTTCCTAACTATTTGGCTATTCTGACTATTGTCTATAACATCTATGTAGATGTTCGCTGCGATCCCAACTGAAAACTGGACTTTGGAGGACAACTTGCTGTCAAATCTAGAAATACCAAGGAAACTTGGTTTCTAAATAGGGAGAGAGTTCTGGTTTTTGTCACTTGTGAGTAGGCTACATCTCTCTGCATCTCACTTTTCCCAACTGCCAACACAGGATCATCCCTGCTCTTTTCTTTAATGGGGCAAAGGAACTGATGAGAGTGATTGTACTTAAACATTTCACGAAAAAATACTTTGAGATAAGGGGGGACTGTGGTGTGAATGGGGTGTGGAAAGATGTGAAATGGCAAGTGACTGAATTTGGTGGATCAGAAAGGACCTGTCTTGAGCTTGCAGGAAAGACCTAGGAAGGAAAGACCTAGGAAAGACCTAGACCTATGTTTTGCCCTTTCACCCCTACATATTCTTTTTAGCCATGTGCTACTGTGGGATGGGAACTGAGAATCTGGATATTACATTTCATCCCTGAGTTTAATCTTTTCAATTTAGACACACTCCTAAGCTGTAATGAAAAATCTCTAGGTTACGCTGAAAAACGCATCTCACCAGACTAGCAGTGGGATTGATTTTTTTGGTCTCCACTTTCTTCTCTGACGTCAGCTTGCTGACTGATTCCTGAGCCCTTTTCAATCTGAAATAGAAATAGGGAACAGGGAACAGAGAGGGGAAAAAATGGAAGGAAAAAGATAAGGAGAGAAGTCAGTTTAAACAGAAATCCAAATGCTTCTGAATTAACCAATCAGCACTTTGAAAATATAGGAATGTTTTTTCCAAGCTTCCCATTATTAAATTCAAACTCTAATTAGGCATGAAGATGACTTCTCTGCTTTATCAGAACTAAATTTTCTTCACTAGCTGAGGGGCTTACCTAGATGACCTTGGGAAGTCTGTGTTTTTGTGAACAATACGGTGGTTTCTGATGAATAGAATGCTATGTGCACATAGCACTGTTTAATTCAATGTTGGTTGGCTTGTGATTGACTCAGCAGATAATACTGAGACAATTTTTGAAGAAGATATGAAACTAAAAATATTAAAATTCACCAATTCACATCAATTATGTGAAAAGACAGCTTACAGGATGAGAAAAATATTTGTAAATCACGTATCTGATAAGAGACTTGCATCTAGCATACATGAAGAACTCTTACAACTCAAAAGACAAATTACACGTCCCCTCCCCCATCAGGCCAAAAATTTGAATGAACATTTCTCCAAATATTACATAAAAGTACTCCATAAGCACATGAAAATATGCTCGAGATCATTAACCACCAGGAAATGCAAATCAAACCCCCAGTGAGATACCACAGTGAGATATAGTAGTATACTACTAGGATAGCTAGGTTCAAAAAGAAAGACAAGTCCTGGAGAAGAGGAAGAAGAGAATTGGAACCCTCGTAAGTGGTTGATGGGACTGTCAATTGCTACAGGCACTCTGGAAAACAGTTTGGCAGTTTCAAAAAATGGTAAATATTCAGTTCATACATGACCCAGAAACCGAAGTCCACATAGAAATTTTCATATGGATATTCACAGCAGCATTATTCATAATATCCAAGAGCAGAAACAACCCAAATTTTCATCAGCTGATGGACAGATAAACAAAATGCTGTATATCTACACAATGGAATACTGTCGGGCCTTAATAAGGAATGGAGTGCTTGTGCAGGCTGTCGCATGCAGGAAGCTCACAAACAGTGTGCTCAGGAAAGAAGCTGGTCACAAAGCATGCATGATGCCATTGATATGAAACGTCCAGAGCAGGCAAACTCAGAGAGACAGAAAGTGTATTAGAAATGCCATGAGCTGGGGCTGGGGGCAAAAGCAGAGTGACAGTTACTGGGATTTCTTCTAAAATTAGATAGCAGTGATGGTTGTACATCCTGGTGGATACACTAAAAACCACTATAACAACAAGTGCTAAAATGTACACTTTAGAAGGGTGAATTTTATAGTATGTGAATTCCATTGCAATAAACCTATTTTTTAAAATTTAGCAATTCAATAACCTGTTAGTATTTCTTACCCATCAGGCCAGCAAAATAGGCAGTAACCACTGTTAGTCAGTATGTGGGAAAATGGGAACTACCACACTGTGCCACAGGGAGGATACGCTGGTACAGCTGGCGGTGGTGCTATCAAGTAAAACTGAAAATATGCACACCCCATGAGCCATCAGTACCTTTTGTAGGGAGATACCCCAAAGAAACTTTTGTACCCAGACTTTGGGCTTTCACTGTGGCGATATGAGCAATAGTGAAAAACTGGAAATAACCTCATTATCAGGTTCAATAGGGTAATAGACGTATGATAATAGCAAATAACAACATTTATCAGGTACTTCATCTGGGCCAGGTACTGCTCTTTGGATTCATTTGAAGTAAACCATTTAATTTTCACAACAACTCTGTGAAATAAAGATGTTTATTATTTCTATTCTACAGGTCTTAACCGTCATGACTGAGTTCAATGTTGCTTATGTATTACATTCATTCAATGGACTAGATCTAGGAAGTCAACAAGCCCAGATATCAGAAACTTGATACTGAGAGAATGAAGAATCCTGCAGGGAGATGGAGTGAAGAAATCACCTAGCATGATGGTCAAAATTCAGGCTCCAAAGCCGATCTGTAGAATTAATTCTCAGCCCTGTTGCTTATTGGCTGTGTGGGCCTACACCTCTCTGTGTGCCTTGATTTCCTAAAAAAGGGGACAACAATAATAGTCGTGGCTGCTGCGTAGAATCACTGAATGAAGATGGTGCTGCCTAGGCACATGGTAATCACTGAATAAAGGTAACCTACTATTGTTACTATGTATGTACCATGCTTACATGTTCTTAAATTGTACCCACAAACCAACGTTGCTCACAGATACACGCACATATATGTAAACATAAATCAACATATATGTGGATTTACATCCACATATGTTAGAGTATTTAGAAAAGATTAGAAAGTTACTAATTTCATGATAAAAGTTAGTGTTAAAAAGATGGGAGAAGAGAATGGGATGGGGGTAAGATGTCAAGTACAATTTCATTTTTATCCACAGTGCTTTATCTTTTTAATTAAAAATTCTTAAAAAAATATGCGACAAATGTCACTAATTATAATTCCAGGTAGTGAGAAAATGAATGTGCTATGCTATCCTTTGTGTTTCTATTTATTTTAAAATTTTCTTCCAAAAGTGTTTCAAAATGTAAAATATATTTAAAGAGCCACCAACTCACACATATTTAAAAAAAGAAACATGTTTTTTTCTCCTGCTTCTCAAAAATCTTTTGTTCCATATTAACTATATACTCGTTAGCATTTACAAGTGGCTTGAGTGGCTTAGCTCTCAGCTAATTTTACATTCTTGGCTTAAAATGCACACTTAGTGATCTAATCTTTCTGTCCACATGCACAAGTTAGCTACAATGAATTTGACATGCTGACTTATACATTGGAAAATAAATAAAAACGAGACAAAGATGACAATGATCCCTACAACCCCAGAAGAAATTCACATGGGATGCTGCTCTGAAGACAGGCGTATTTCCCAATATGGATACAGGTCTGAGTCTAGAGATCACACTGCCGACTGGACTTTCCCATGTACTTTAACACCAATAACTGTGACTATACCCACCCAAGAGAAGAAGGCGCCCAAAGGATCAGACTCAGGTCAGACTCCACTGGAGATTAAATTATGTAGCGTTTGCCAACCACAGTGATGGCTGTAAGCAAAGTCACAGCTTGTGGTGTTTACGCCTCCTGATGTCTCTTCAGCCAGATTTCCTTTCAAAGAGAGACCCCTTCAATTCCAATTCCAAGGGATTGGTCAGGAATTGCTGGTGCTCTCACAGCCTCCCAACTGAAAGGTTTTTGGTCATTTTTATCTTTAGTAATCCCTGTTCACCTTTGAGTTCTGGTCTCTCCTCTCAGAGTAGGTTTTCTGCATGCTTCTGTCCAGCGTCACCCTCCTACTTCCCAGGTGCCACTGTCCTCGGATATCTGGGGCGATGGTGGTAATTGGGGAGGCAGAGGCAGAAGGCCTGAGAGTCTCCTGTCCCCACCGCAGACCTTTTCCTGCTGGTCAGCGGTTATTCTACAGGCTATAGGCGATCATCTATGCCTCAGACACCCTAAGCCCATTCCCATCTCAGTGACTATCCTGCTTTTTAAGTGTTCTCATTCTATGATTCTGTCTTCCTTTCCTGGGGCACTTTTGAAAAAGCAACGGGAGAAGGCAGAGCTTAGGGGCAAGTAGCTTCAGTGTCAGCTAGACTTGATTCTAACTCTAACTCTGTTAGTGCTGAGAAGATGTGGGGCAAGTTAATCTTTTCTAAATTTCAGTTTCCTTACCCAAAAAATGGATGTTAATATCAACCTTGTATTATCACTGTTGGGATTAAATAAGTTAACATACGTAAAACATTTAGCCTGGCTGGCATATAGCTAGTGGTTAATAAAAGGTAACCATTATCGATCCTTTCATGGACGAGATAAACAAATTCTTTAAGAATACATGATGCTAGTTCCTGACTACAAACCCAAACCAGCAGAGCTATTAGCACAAAGCTGTCTTGCCGTAACGTCATTTAAATGTGTCCTGGAAACAAACCAAATCAACCAACACTAGATGTAGCTGCACTGGGATTTAGTAAGCCAAAGAACTCAGCTCTATTTTTCTGATCTGAACACTGACACTAAGTCATGCCCAGGAGCTAAACTTTGGTGCACGTATGACAAAATTTTTTCAACCAAATAAAATAAGAGAAACTATTTAAACTTCCGAACAAAGGTTGTACTTACTTCCTCATATTTCTTTTCCTACGTTTCCTGGAAACTTATTTTAAATAAATAATGTAAACTTCAAATATTATAGAACTTCTAAGGAAAATGTTTCACATTAACCTTGATATTCTATTAGTTTTGTTTTTGTTATATTTTTATATACTTATATATTTAAAAATTACATTTTAAATTTATACTACATATTTAAAAATATAAAGACTCACCTGGGTATTTCAATACTTTGCTGACAATGTGGTCCGTTGGACCACATCACATCCAAATCTCTCAGCTAGAGTGCCAGGAGGGTATAATGGGAGCATCGTTCTTTCTGCTGTATCCCTAGCCCTTTATACGGTACCTGGCATACATGTGCACACCATAAGTAAAGAATAAATGGAGACTGACAGAGCAAAATCATCGGGGAAAAAATCCTTCACTTTTCTATACTACTGTTTACTAGAATTTCTGAAATATGCTGAGCCTGTGTAGTTGCATGAGGCCCCTTGGCTTAATGCTTTGTTGTTACCATCTTAAAATTCATAGTTTTGAAACATGGGGCTTTACAATTATGTAGTTGTTCCTGCCTGATATTTTACAGAAATTTAAAGTTCTTTTATTAAGAAATCAGGGCCAGGTGCAGTGGCCTATAATCCTAGCACTCTGGGAGGCCGAGGAGGGAGGATCATGAGACCCCCATGTCTAAAAATACCCAGGTATTGTGGTGGATGTCTGTAGTAATGCAGGACCAGAGAATTGAATCCAATAGAGTCTCACCAACGATTATAGGGGAAGGAATTTTACTTGCTTGTAGGGTGGGAAAACTCAGCAGGCCTTACAGTAATCAGCC